CCTATGTGATCCAAGAATTGTAAACAGTAAAATCCGAATCTGGAGGAGATTATAGTCAGCTTGAAATCTGAACTCGCAGTTTGCAGAAGGCTACGGATGACAGTAGAAGCCCAAAATCCATTTGCCAGATTCCCACATGAATTAAGCTTTTGGTAAATTCCCTCTGATCATAACCTAGGGATGTGAATAGCCTTGCTATCAGACAGAGGGTGTCGGAAAATTGAAATTATGGAAGATTTATTTAGGTTAAAATGTAACACTTTCTATTTTCTGTTTGCTTCTCTATTGAGGTTTTTCAGTTTTGTTGTTGTTGTTTATTTCTTGGTTTTTGCTTTCTATCATTATCTGTATATTATATCCAGGTTAGACAAATCTATAAAGATAGTGACTGGATTAATAATCACCTAGGGGCATGATAGGCGAGTTTAGGGAGACTTGGGGTACTGGCAACAATGAGTAGAAGAATGTTCTGAAACTGATTATGGTGATAATTGCAAGTTCTTCTTAATAGAATGAATGATTAGATTGTATGATATATGAATTATATGACAATAAGACTACATTTTAAAAATCTGGGGGGTGGGGGGAACGAAGGGAGGTGTCAACAAACCCAGGGACAACCCTGGTGGGGCTTGATCAAGGGTGATGTTGTTAGAAAGGTAGATTGGACTGGAGACTGTGGAGGCTCTCGTTGTCATGCAGTTAGAAGTCATCAGGAGATATGGAGCAATCCTAGTTGTGCTAATTGCTAAGTGCTGGACTGCTAACTGAAAGGTTGATAGTTCCAACCCCACCCTCAACCACTCCACCAGAGGAAGATCTAGACCTGCTTCCATCCATAAAGATTAAAGCCTAGGAAGACAAATGGATGCATAACCAAATGCGGCGAAGAAAGCTGATGGTGCTTGGCTATCAAAAAGTATAGCATCTGGGGTCTTAAAGGATTGAAAGTAATCAAGCGACCATCAAGCTCAGAAGCAACAAAGCCCACATGGAAGAAGCACACCAGCCTATGCAATCACGAGGTGTCGAAGGGATCAGGTATAAGGCATCATCAGAACAAAAAATCTTA